AATGAAATTCTACCATTTGCAACAAAATGGTCCCAACTGGAGACCAGCATGCTCAGTGAAATAAGCCATTTCCAAAAGGATAAATATCATATATATTTTCTCAGATATAACTCAATGTTCATGCAAGATACAAAGCAAATAGATGTATATGTAAATACATATGTACATATATTCTCATAGAAGAACTGTATAATGGAGATTGCCATATCAGGAAGTGAAAATATGTTGCAGTATGCATCTCTACTCATGAATAAAAGGAGGATTCCCACTGACATATTGAAATATACTTCATCAAAATGACACTAGATTTTCTACCATTGCCTATATTATCAATATCATCATACACTTAAATAGCAGAATGTTGGATATGTGACTTTTCCTGAAGGACTATGCTACTATAATAATATGAGGGAAAATGGTGGGGTGGGGAGAATAGGGAAGGTTGAAGGAGGAATCTTTATACATACAAAACTATCTTGCAAAATAATTTTAAAAGAAAAAAGAATCATAAATAATAGTTTGTTGTATATACATATATATTTAACTCATGTTTTTTGTGTTAAAATGCACAATCTAAAAAGATATAGATCTTAGAGAAGGCAAGCATTTCTCCTCGATAAGTGGGAATGGGGTTGGGGAAGCTGGCATTAAGGCTTGCAAATGACAGAATTTCATCTTTTCATCTAAATAGGATATTGACCGGGGCTGGTGCCATGGCATTGTAGATTACCCCTCTGACTGTAGTGTATGTATTCCATGTGAGCCCCTGGCTAATTTTCCAGCTGCTCTAGTTTCCATTCAATGCCCTGCTAATGTGCCATGGAAAGCAGTGGAGGATGTCTCAACTACTTGGCCCCTGCGCCCTTGGGGGAAATCTGAATGAAATTCCACATTCCTTACTTTGGACTGGCCCAAATGGACCTTGTGACCATTTGGGGAGTGAACTAGTGGATAGAAGGTCTCTGTCTCTTCATGTTTATCTGCAAATATCTTACAAATAAAAATAAATCTAGAAAAATAGTGTATCAGCAAAGAGGACTTAGTGTTCCAAATTCTTTATCATTCCCTCACATGCACACTTGGTCCAATGACTGTGACAAGGCTGATGAATAGCTGTGGAGGGGCTCGCTGGATGTCAATTTTTATTGTTCTTTATGTACTAGTTTCTTGCAGTGCACTTTTTTTTCAGTTCCTTTTCTTCTGGCACAATAGCAGTGACCTTTGGGAAATTCATTATATTATTCACTAAAGCAGATTTTAAAGCATACTCAGAATTGTTCACTGTAACAAAATATTAACCATAGTCTACAGAATGTAGGCACTATTTCATCAAAATTATCTGGAATTTCCTAAACTCCTGTAAAAATCATAAAGCCTGGTAGCATTCATTTGATCTTGTTCTTAGCTTTATTAAACACACCAAAATGTAGTAAAATATGTATAAAATATCCAAACAGAATATAGTAGAATTTTTGCAATCACATTATTTTCCTTATTTAAACTGCATCTTGGTGGGAGATAGGTAATAAGTAAGACTATGCTTTAATCAAATGAATGAGAAACGCAGGAATAATACAAGTGGAGAAGAGCCAGTAGTTGGAAAGAGCAGCTGAGAAAGTTTTGATTCAGCTATTACTGCTTCCAAACAGAAATTCTGGCTACAGGATCTGTCATAGAAAGGTTGACTTCCAATATGTTAAGTTAAACAGAATTTCAACTCTCTTCACTGCAACAGCAAAAAAAAAAAAAAAAAAAAAAAAAAAAAAAAAGAAAAAGAAAAAAAATCCCGAGACACATAAAAGATCTACTACTTTCATTTAGTTCTACTGCTTTCATTTAGTCTTGGGGGAATCAAAGGACTTTGCAGTTTGGCTTTTTTCCTCTGCAGATCATTTTTTTGGGGTTCTTCCTTTTCTCAGATTCTTTCTTGAACACACAAAGACCAAGAAAATGCATCAGCTTGGGCCCTGGATCTGGAAGAACCCTAGCAAGCTCAGAGTGGATGAAGAGTTCACCCTTGTGCTGTGAACACTGGCAGTCCTGAATGAGTGGGAATGGGCTTCATGGTGGAATCTCTGCCTGGCTGACTGCAGCTTCTCCTGCCTCCAGATACAGTCTCTGTGGCCAAATGAGGTGTAATAGACAAAACCATTCTCTACATGGTCATCTGGGACACAGATCCTCAAGTTAACGGCCAGAATGGGATCCAAGAAGGAGAGGCTGACAACAACATTTGAACCACTGCAGGCAACAATTCAGAACAGTTGACAGAGCAGTTTAGGCTGAGAACGACCCCACTGGATTTTTTCCTGCAGAAGCTGCTCTCCTAAAAGTGCTCTTGTTGTCTGGTGCCTTCACTTGCAGCTTCTCTGCATAGTGGAAGTTTTATCTCACTCCTGCACCTCCACAGAGACTCAGCAAAGTCTGAAACTTCCAAAAGGAACAACATGAATCATTCACTTGCTGAGAAAAGTGTATTACTATTTTTTTCGGACATTATAGATTCATAGCATGGTACTATTAAAAGGAGCATTAAAATGATCTAACTCAGTCCCTTTATTATATTTTTCAGTCAAGAAATTTGAAAGGCCAAGTGATTTTCAGAGTTGAAGTACAGTCTGCATAACCACTGTCATAGTTAATAAATTGGTGGGGTACAATGTACTTCAGATGCTAAGATAATCTAGGTAGCAGGAAAACCTAAAGAGTTACTTGCCAAATCCTATTATAAGAATAACTATATAAGGGTTTCTAATAGGAATGACTTATTATGACTTTTATGACCATGAAATGATGGCTTTTATGAATATATTTTGCAATATGCACACACATAATGTATGTGTGTGTGTGCATATGTGTGTGTGTGTATGTAAATCAAACATCCAACACTCTTTATCCTCCTGTAGTGCTTCTCCCCTATAACTTTGATTACCATATCAACATTTCACTTACTTATTTAATTTATGGTCAGTTTCCCTCCCCTTAAGAAGTTAGCTCCATGAGGGCAAGACTATCAAACTACTAAGGCAGACACAATTAATTCATCTTGTCCTTGCCCAGAGGGAAGTTGAATTTAGAAGTTCGTTAGAATTCTCTTCTAAGAGCACTGACAAACACTTCTTCTATAATTCTAGGGAAATCATGTCATGAAGCATAGAGATGTCTCAGTCTTGTGACCATAAACAAATGGATTGCATGACCATATCTTCCCAGTGCTCTGAGAGTATAACATTTGTTCCCTCCTATATTTCTAGCATCTGAAGTGCATGTGGTGTATATTTTTAAAGGGATTTTTTGTAACAATACTTACATGTAATGTGAATATTAACATACATCATCTGTGAAAACTCTGGCATTTTTTACTCACATAGGTATTTCACTTTTTTTTAATTTAGAACTTAGAAAATTTAAAAATTTAAGTGTGTCAAGGAACTTGTTAAGACAGAGTACGGTATCAGTTGTGGAAGGCACTTGAACTCAGTATTGCTGCGCAACAAGAAAGAACTTGCACTGTGGGAAGGGATTTTTTTTATTTGGGAGACTGACTTAAGCTGCAAATTTTAGTCAAAACGGGGAAAGGGGGCAGATATTATTAAAAAGCAGAAAAGAGAAACATGGATTCCTTTTGGGAATGAAATTTCTGCTTATGGAATTCAATTTTAGAACAAGCTGGGAAAGTGGTGAGGAACTGTTCCAAACAAGGCCCAAACAAGGTCAGGGACTAGCATTAAACCCTTCCACTAGAATTCCATGCAGCATATGTGTCTTCAGGTAAATGCCCTGGCTCCCAAATTGACAGTGGCTCAAAGGTGGCTAGAAAGGTACATTTCTTAACTTATGGCCAAATTCTACAAGACCACACCGATTTTGTCTTTTCATAGGATGCTTTGGAAATCAATGACTGGACAGCACGCATGACCTCAAACCTGATGCTGTGTAGGTTTCTGGATTAAGCATTTCCAACACTGTCAATAGATGTGGGATTAAACGGAATGAGTTTCTAAAGTAATGCCATATGGTAGGCAGAAACAAAAACTTCGGCTAGCCAGCTAAACTTCAGTCTTGGGAATGTATACGCTTTCTCTCTGAGAAAGTTCCTAAACTGCTCAGACAATCTGAGGTTAAGATGGCACAGTAAATTGAAGTTTGTGGAGTTTCTGAAGGGATTAGCTGAGAAGAAGGAATGAGATGTGGCAACAGGTGTACACTGTGTGTGTTCAGGGATTATTTGTAGACACCTAATGTATGTGCATATGTACATTCAGAACATTGTCACTTGTAAGTTCCCACTGTCTTTGTCTTCAAAACCACCAAATGCCTTGAGGAAGGCAAGTGAGTAGAGCAAGTTTGAATTCTGAGATGATGAAGGAAAACAGTGCATATTTGCATTGTCAGGGTACACACGTCTTTTGACTGCTGCTTCTATCACTGTGAAAACATCATGGCAGTTACACATCGGACTTACTGTTCTATAATATTACCAGCCATTGAAGTGATGTTTATAGGTGAAATACAAATACAAATTTAGAACATTACATAAAGGGCTATATATCTCCAAAGGTGTATTCTGGTTGACATATATTGGAAATATACTGCCTGAAAGCATTCATTTTTTTCGCCAATCAATAATTAGTCCCAAGTAATTTGTTCTTTACCATGGTGCCTTGAAATGCACAAAGGAAGACACGATAAACATCACTCTTAGATTTCGCTCGTACACCGAGGCTATTGCCAAAGCAATCATGCTACATTAGAACAAGTGTGGAAGTCTCCAGTATAGGAGGTAGATCTGACACTTACCTCACCAACCCCTCAGCAGGCCCCTAAGATACCAAACACAGCTTAGGGCGAAGAATTCTTCAGCTTCTCAGAGGTACCCAGTGACAGTAAACAACTTTCAGAAAAATAAGGTTGGTCTGAGCGGAGACAACAGGCCTGGTTCCCCTCAGAGCTCCTGTGTTTACATCCCCAAAGGCAACTGTAGCTATCACAGCACTTACATCTTGGTTGGACATTTCCCAGTATGGTCTCTCTCCGTAGGACATCACCTCCCACATGACAATGCCATAGCTCCACGCGTCACTTGCTGAGGAGAATTTTCTGTAGGCGATAGCTTCTGGGGCTGTCCATCGTATAGGGATTTTTCCACCCTGGAAAGCAAATTGAAGATTTCTAAGCTGGCTCACAAGTCTACCAAGTAAAAGTTATACTTAAATTAAATCTCTGTTGTCAGAAAAGTGCGAGTATTTCATCAGAGCATTGGCGTTTCATTGTCAAAATCAAAAAGAAAACCAGAATACTGTTAAAATCTCAGAAATACTTTTCTCATGATGGTTATTCAGTGAAAAACACTTTAATGGGAAATAAGTCACACTTCAGAAATAGTTCCATTCATTAGGGAAATTTATTTTTACTTTAGACCCACACAATTAAACCCACTATTATCCCATTTGAAAGAAGTTTCTGATTATGGGACATTAAAAGTAAGCATCATTCAACACTCATTAAACATTGTATTGCATTATAAATAATAAAGAGAATAAGGACTAACCTAATTGAAGACAAGTAGTTAAATATAGAACTGAGACATTCTACAAACTCACTTTTTATCAGCATTTCCTTTTCTTTTCATCTGCTATGACTGCATTTATTTAAGCTCTTTAACACTATGCAAAGGACACCTGAGAAGGCTAATCTTTCTTTCAAATACTGCAGGCTAGTTTATATTCTTGTTCTTCAGTGCTCAAGTTAACATTTAAACATATTAAAGGGATTAAACTGCATGCATTTAATCTGCACAGTTCAAGTATTAGAGTCTGCCATTTTGTTATACTTAAGTTTTTATTAACATTTATTACATTTTATCTGTTGAAACACTCTATAAATCCCTTTTTACTGCTACAACAAGAAGAAAACTATCTATCTCCCGATTTATAAACTTTATAATCTTTGCAGTTTGGAACTGCAAGTTCAGAGGACAAGGGTGACCGTCCAGCCACTAGATGGTGCAAGAGAACAACAAGCCGCTCCCAAACCAGCCTCCTCTCAAAGCAGGAGTCTGACAAAATTGCTCAGAACCCACCAGGATCGAATTATTTTTAACATTATCAGCATTTTCATTATCACATCACCTGATCACCCACTGTGTGTAAATTCCAGTGCTAATATTAGTGGGAGAGGAAAGAAATAAAGTGCCTGGTCCTTGAGGAATTGAGGTTAAACAAACACTTCTAAAAGCAAAGCTGTCAGTAATCTAATCATCACTCATTTAGTAATTGAAAGACTGCTTATTTTAATAAAGGGAATCATCAGGAAAAGGAACAACTTAGTTTTCATAGAGCAGATGAGAGCACCCACGGGACCCTCACTTTAAAGGCTTTGGAGTTGTAGGGAGGACTGGGAGAAAAACTGAAGCTGGTGCCTTGATTTGACAGGTGAGCTGAGTGAGTCTAGGATTGAGAGATGTAGAAGTTATCCATCTCTACCACCTCTTCAGGTACCTAAAATGTCATGCTGTCATAGAAGCAGTATGGGCATTTGCACAAAGTGGGTGAAAAGTTCAGCAAAACTAATTATACTTCTTTGATACATATGACTTATCATCATGTCACAGCAGCAAAATGGAAGGGATCCTGAAGGCTACGAATTTTTAAAAAGATTTTTTTTTTATTTGAAAGGTGGAGAAGCAGAGAGATTCTTCAATCTGCTTGCTTCCTTCCAAAGGCATGGTACTACTGTGGCTGGGCCAGACTCAAATCAGGAGGCTGGAACTCAGGCGGAATCTCCCTCCTGGCAGGCAGCAGCCCAAATTCTTGAGATATTACCTTTGCCTCCCAGGGAGTGCATTAACAGGAAGCTGGGATTGGAAGTGGAGCCAGGGCTGAGCCCAGGAGCTCCGGTATGGGATGAGGGTGTGTAAGTGGTATCTGAAGTACGTACTAAATGCCTGTGGTGAGATTCATTCCTAAACTTGCACAAATAACAAATAACTTTTCAGAACACACATTTCCCATAAAGAAGTTACCTTATATAGTAAATACCTGTCAAATATTGAACTGGGTGTTTTGATACTAGCAAATATTTAATTGAAATTCAATTGGGCCGTCTATATTGTTAATCGCTACATTTGACAGCCCTAATCCAAAGCATTAAAAGAATCAGATTATAGAACATTATAAATTATCCAAATAAATATGAGGCAGTGAGGCCATTCCTGATTGTATCTGCACACTAATACTACAGCATCCTTAACTTTATTATTTGCTTTGGCCAAGATACCTCAATCTGTGGCTCAGTGTATTGATACCACTTAGACTCAGAGTTGTTTGAAATATGGAAGCCATACTTCCAGGGATTAAAGACCTCAGAACACATGCAAGAGTTTCAGTCTCATATAGCTTTTTGACCATAGATTTTTGTTGTGGCACAAACAGCACGTGGAAGTTTGAACTGCTATTGTGACAGGCTGTACCGTTGGTAAATCTTTGTGAATTCTATTAATACAGGCCAAAACCCAGAGTTAGTGATGATTTTATGTTCATTCACTCATTCCCTTGCAAATGGTATCTCCTATTTCATGTGAAAGAGTCACACAAAATCCTCTTTGAAGTAACTTGAAACCAATGTTCATGATAATTTTATCACTTTTCTTCATAAGTGTTGTGACCTGGATTTCATTCCTTCTAAATGTAAAGCCCTATCCTCCAGTGTGGCTATATTTTGACATAAGGTTTCTTCTTCTTTTTTTTAAGGTAATTATGGTTAAATGAAGCCTTAAGGGAATGTCTATAAACCGCTATGATGGGGGTCCTTAGAAGAAGATGGAGGGAGGTGTGCAGGTGTGGAGCTGAAGCCATCAGGGGAGAGCCCCTGCAGGCACTCAGCTGGCAGCCACCAACAGGCCACGTGTGCTGACACCTTGACCCTGCACTTCCAGCTTCCAGAACTGTGAGCTAGGTTGATGGTGCCACCCAGTCTATGGTATTTTCTTAGGGAAACTCTAGAAAAATATTTGCTACCCCTGTAGGAAAACAATATATGTTTCGAAGTATTTTGTTAAAATGAACATTGCAAAAATTTTATCTTGAAATGAAAAGTGGGAGTTAGAATGAAAAAAAAAAAAAGAAGTAAAGTAGAACCAAAATTGGGAGTAGGAAATACAATTCTTAAACCAGAATGCATGATAGCATGAATTGGAAATGGTGCACAAACTGGCAATTCTGTGCACATGTGTGACAGAAATAAGGAAGCATTCACTCTAAACTCTCTCCAAGGGCATGGATAAATACAGTTTTATATTTAATCCAAGATGAGGAAGAAAGGAAGAAGCCCTTAAAGCTACCATGTTGTGTCTATTTCCTTCCTAGATAAGTCTAGTCCTTCTTAAGTGAGTATGCAAACTTATACTTTTTGGCTTAATGCCATCTACATGATTTTTGCCTATGATCTTGAATCACACACAGAGTAATGTACATGGGTACTTTTTTCCTCTCAATATCTCTACCAGATGTTCATTTCAGGTTTCTAGAATGAACAAATAGTATTTCCAATTTGAAATTGCAATCATGGAACACTACATGTTGCTTTACATATGGTTATGAAGGAAAAAATGATGAAAAATGTTAATCAAAATGATTACATGTAATTCAAAGGACCCACCTCATGTAACAACACCTCCCCTCTCTAGCAAACTTATTTAGAGATCAGAAGAGAAATAGGAAGTAAACAAACTAGACCATTACTGGAGCAGTTATTAGTAAGCCTTTTTTTTTCTCCACTGTTTTTCAAAACACATGTAGAGTTTGTTATCTAATAAATGATTAGCTGGTTGTAGCTGAAAATATGTGGGAGTATCAACAATATTATACACATGTGTGCCCTTGTGTATCACATATACTAGAGAGAAATCATATACTATTTGTCTTTGTGTCTCTCAAATAAAATAAAAATTAAAACTTTTTAAAATAAATTCACTAATTTCAAGTACTCTGTTATAGCAAAGCCAAATAGATTGAGATCATACAATTTTTGTAGGATGATATACATTATAGAAATATGTGACAAATAGTCATGTTTTAGGTAGCAGTCATGGAAGAAATCTTGTCAAATAATTTTTGGACCCAACCCTGTATTTTCACAGGAGTGATATTAAACTTATGGAGGCTTTATAATGAACCCAAGTGGAAAAATTCCATAGATAAGCAAGAAACATTTTCAAGGCCTCTGCCCAATTTTCATTTACCGGTTTTGTCAGCTATCTTAATGGTAAATGGCAGGGACCAGCATTGTGGCACAGCCTGTTAAACTGCTACTAATGTGGCCAGCATCCCATATTAACATCAGTTTTAGTCCTAGCTGCTTCACTTGCAACTCAACTCCTTGTTAACACACCTGCAAAATGAGTGGAGTATGGTCTGAGTGCCTAGGCCCCTGCCTGTCAGGTGGGAGACATGAACGGAGTTCCTGTCTCCTAGCTTTGGCCAGGCCCATATCTGGCTCTTGCTGCAACTGCGCAGTGAAGCAGTGATGGAAATGTCTCTCCTTCTCTCTATATCATGACGCCTTTCTCATAAAGAAACACATGTTTTAAAAATAAAAATAACCGAAAATAATTTCAATAAATAATAATTTGCCTGAAAACTTTCCTTTTGTTATATCTTCAATCTAACTCTGCAGTATTCAAAGTTCAATTGGTAAAGTATATTAAAGGAATTTCTGAGAGCAATTTTGAATAAATAGTATGCTTTTTATGAGCTAAAAATTGTGAGATGAAAGTGTACTATTAATTCTTTGTGAAGTTGTGGGCAGATCTTAACACTTTGGAGCTTGGATTTCAGATTTGTAAATTGAAGGGATTTGAATCAATCACCACGAAACAATAAACTCTAAAGTGTTTTACTATTTGTTCAGTTTCTCACTTCCCAATAAATTGTAAGAAGATGGCCACACAGTCCATGGTGGGTACTTGACTGTGTAAGCTGACAGCCTGATGGCAGGCAAAAGAGGATGACATTCTCTTGAATTACATCCTAGGCCAATAATTTGTGGTCATCATGCTCACCCCGAGTGGGTAGCCAGAGATAAAGTAACATAAACACCCTTTTTAAAGAAGGCAGTTGCATGAATAACACATCTTCGAAAAATACAAAGC